AAAACACTGTCTGTTTGTCGTTCTTTATTTAACCGGCTATGGGCTAATCGACTTGGGGGCTAAAGAACCGGTAACCCGATTACTGAATGCTGAGACCTACACCTTCCTGACTACCGCAATCTGGCAAATGAAACTAGAAATCAAAAGATGTAAAGTTGAATGAATAAAACTGATATATTACATGTCTTCTTGAAGATGTTGACTCTATTCAAAACGCGCTATTAGCTAAATTCTTTGAGTGGTTAGATTTCCCAAGTTTACCGTTAGCAAAAAGACAGGTATTTGGAAACTTTGGCCTATACAAATACTCAAAGAAACTTTCAAACAAAGAACGTGGTCTCCAAAACTTTACGAAGGGTTATTTAAACAAAGATAATTTCAGTTTTCCTTTTTGCACGTATTTATTTGCATTTTAACAATTATATTTGTATTCACGGTACGTCTTGCATGTGGTTGTTTTTATTCCTTGAAAATTATGTTGACATAATATAAAATTTTTCACAGTTGCAGTTCTGTTACATGCTTTAGATATTTCAGTGTTCTTTGACTACTTTTTTAGAACGATATTGCATCGAAAAAATTTAGGAATTCGCTATTTTCTCGCTGCAGGTTTAACAAGCGTTTTGACAGCAGGTGACCAGATGGTATAAGGTCACTCGAGCGTTTGAAATTTAAATCTAATTTTCCAGGACTAAACACCAACGTACATAACAAAACAAAGCCTTGTCAACAGTGGAAAATATGTCAAGAGTGGCGTCGTTTTCAACTACGTCCAGCAAGCAAAAAGAATAAATGATTAAATTCTTACTTATAGAAGAAAACCACTGACTAACCTGAGAAAAGCGAGAAGTTATTGAATAGATATCTTTAAACGTTTCTGCTTGGTCTGCCTTAAATGACAGTTGACCGATCATCAAAGGGGGGATTAGGTTCTGAACATTTCAAGCCGGAAGCAGAATTACGGGTTAAGTTCCCAGGTGTTGTCCACAATATTTCCTCAGTCGCGACTCTAAAGATCAGTTGACCAAATACGCTAGGTGTTTGTTGACTCAATGTGTAAAATTACGTCATTTTAATTGCGACAATCCGCTCGATACTTTTGACAACTCGTTAAAAGGGTCTCTTGTTGTTATGTCAAAGGCATGATTTCATGTTGAACCGAACCGCAAAGTACTGGAATTGACTAGTTGGAATGGTCAATCTTCGATCGAACCAGTCCAACGGAGAAAAGCAGAAAACTCGTTCACTTCAAAAGGTAAACTGTTCTTTTTGAAACCTCTCTGGTTGGACCGAACCAATCTACATTCAGTTTTTGACCGAATTTTCCGGAAATTTGGTTGGTCCAATCCCAAATGTCCCTTTCCCTGCACCTCGTTTCCGAAACGAGGTTTTTTTCCCGCCAAATTTTGTCACCTCTGTCAGAACAACGTGCATTGTGTTTTGATAGGGTAGCATTCGACAAACATGGACGATCCCATGGGGCTGTTCAGCAAAGAGTTTGGCACGATGATAACGATTTTTAACCCAATATACCCGCTGCAATTCGAAAGATTTGGTGACGGAAACCCAGACGAGGATCCCGAGTTCAAATCACATTTATCTAATCTCAATCAGGGCCACGGAGTAGCTGCAGAACTCGGTGTGGACGAACGCTTCTCCTCGAGCGTAGCGATTTACAAAGCCGAGAGGAAAGCAAGGATGGCTTATGTATCGGAGAATCCTATAACTGAAGCCAAAGCAGCACTAAAAATATCCCCAAATTGTCCTGAAGCGTACAACGTGTTAGCTCAGTTCGAGGCGAAGACGTATGATGAAGCTCTTGGTAAGTTTCATGCTGTCCATTGCAATTGAGAGAAATGTACTTAATACTTTTCAGTAAGGCAATCACGAAATGTTTTTAAGCGCATTGAAAGGATGTTAGCTTAAGCTCATGTCCTTATCTCAAGCTTTCAGCGCAACATATTTCGCACACAAGACGAAGGGGTCTTCGATTTGCATGTGTGTAATCCGATATAAGGTTACGCATGAAGCGATAGAATTTCTGTGAACTGTGAACTGCGAAGATTGCATTTTACTGGTTTTCCTCTGTAGCTACACTCATGACTTATGTGTTGGTAGCTATGCACGCAGATTCCTCGGAAATTCAATCACTTACACGTTGTCGAATAGGGCCGATATTGACAATATTGTGAATAGTGAATATTGTTCAAAATAGAAAATTTGATACGTGTATAAAAGCTGAAATATGTTACAGAGTCCTTCCTGGTAAAAGTTAGAAATTTATTGGACAGTGTTACTGTTTATAAAACTTAATTCAGGCTTCCAAATTATAAATATGCTGTATCTTGCATTAAACTGCTCTGGCTCAGTGTGACTGCAACTCCTGAAATTTCATTTCCACTTACCTAAATACATTCATAACAATACATTGTGGAAAATTATACCCTCCTTGTGGATATGTGGATTGGGGTAGGGTGAGGGGTAGATCTTCCAGTTTTGTTTTGACCCTGAAATGTTCGGCAACACACGCTTCTAAACCTCTCCCTTTGACTCTAATGTTACTGTGCCGCAGCTGGTACATTNCCCCCCCCCCTTCTTGCAAATTCACTGGATCTGGTGAGTAGAATATATAACAATCTTTTTTCATTGAATCAGGATTCTATAGCAAGGCTGTGGAAGTGGCACCAAATCTAAGTGATGAGTTTGATAAGGAGTTGTCTGAGAGAAAATGTTGGGGGCTGAATCATCTGCGCAGTTACTTTCGTGCTGTGCATGGCCAAGCCAACACCTTGCGCAAGATGGGGAGATACAAGGAATCACTCAAAAAGTATCTTCTACTAGAGAAGTTGGATCCAAAATTCTACAGGTATTGCCTTGTTAA